TTGACATTCTCGACCAATAGCACCAAGTAATTCGATAAGTTTTTCTTGTATAAGTATTGTTTCAGTTTTCCATGACTATAGAAATTATATTATATGATATTTATGAAAAAAACAAAAACAACAACAAAGTATTCGTACGCTATGAATAAAACCAATAAGATGATTAAGTTGTTCTAAATTAAATTTTGCTGCTGCCGATGCAATTAATGTAAATAAATGATCAACTGCAACTAATGATCGACCATGCTAAAAGATAAAAAAAGAAAATAATCTTTTGTTTTTAGAAAACACAATGCTAGAGAATTGTTTCTTTTTTTAACTTTGATATGTTGTATAACATTAAATAAAACTATGATGCAAATTTCAATACACCTTTCGGAAATTTAGTAGAGTATCATTCAATCAAATCAAACTGTTATGTAAGTAAATAAGATGTTCAAAGTACATAGGGAAGCTTATTGTTTGTTCGGACCCCATACAGTAAAATAACAGAGTCCATCGGACTGGTTCCGGATTCAGATCCGACAAATTCTAATAAGAAAATGTAAACTTATTGTTTCCTCTCTTATCTAATTTAGCTTGCACATACTCACAAATATTCCTAATCATATTATTTATTCTGAAGTTCTCATAAATATTCAAAACTCAACTTGAATTGGCAATATAATTATTTAAACGAAATTCAACAAGTTTTGTTCTTCACTATTATTAGTCCAAAGTAGATGTTCAGATATGTATGAATGATTAGTAAATATTTATTCTTTTTTAAATACCTGCATTTTCCATATAGTTTCAATATCTTCTTTTAAAATTCTTGGTGCAATAAAATCCATTAATGTTCGAACTTTTTCTACATATTGATTTTGATCAATATTTCCTATTAAAATTTCAATAGAAAATAAATTAAAAAAATAAAAAAACGAAGATTTTATTCTACCTTCTAATGCTTTTGAAAGTATAGAATGTTCAATAACCCATTCGCTAACAATATCACGTGGAATAGATGCTTTAGATATACTTTGAATATTTGATGTACAACTTTCAATTATTTTTGCAAGCTTAAGAAAAAAGAAAAAACAATATAAACAATTTTAATTAGAAATCTTGTTTTTTTTTTACTTCTTTTAATGAATTCATTTTTGCATTAAAATTTGATAGAGCAACCATTTTAAGTAATAAATTTAAATGTAATTCTTCAACTTGTTCAAGACGATTAGTCCATACAACTGAACATATTTTACGTAATGTTGTAAGTAATTCAAATATTGAATTTGTTGACTAAGAATTTTATATAGAAAAATAATTTTATTTATAAAGAATAATCAAACAAACTTTTGCTTTAAAATCTTCTTCTTTTAAATTTTTTATATAATCTAATGCTTGTTCAATATGTTCACTAAATAATTGTCGATATTTTTCAACGAATATATAATCCATACAATTAACAAATGGGGAAAGTAAAGCATTGTATTCCTATAGTTATCAATTGATTAGATTAAACAAAAGAACAATAGAAAAAAGAATTTTTATTCTTACAATAGCTGTTAAGGGTTGTTCACATTTAAATTGTTCTTTTAAATTTTGTATACCATCTTTTAAAACAAAACGATTTATTATTTCACATAGCCAACCATATGGTTCATTTCGATTATAAACAGAAAATGTTGATGATGATGAATTAGCCAATATACGATCACCTAATTGTTTATCATAAAGTGAACGATCATATGGTTTACTTTTATGTTTTCGTTGAAAAACTGAATCATGATCAAATAATATTGCTAAAGTTTCAAGTAATTGTATAGGTACTGGGAAATAAGATAGACGTGCAGCAATTAAATCGATTAATAATTGTACCATATCAAATACACCTAATTGAACTTCAACACCCCAATTATTAACATGATGAGAACATTGTAACTAAAATATTTGAAGAAAAAAAAAAAAAAAAATAAAATAAAAAAAATTTTAAAAAAGAAAAAAAAAAAAAAAGATACTTTTCGAAAAGCATCTGGAATTAAAATTTCCATAAATTTTTTACAATGTTCATCTTGATCAGCAATACCTAGAAATATAATAGATTAGGAAAAAAAAAGATATTATAAAATTATTAATTTTACCAGCAATTGCAAGTTTAGTAGCGGATAAAAGACACCGACCGAGAACTTCTTCGCCTAAACAAATAGAAAAAAAAATAAGATTTAGTTAAAAATATTCGTTTGAATTATATTTACGTTTATATGGAATAGACCAATTATCTCCATAGACTTTTGTTTCAAGATCAAGAAAAGCACTTGTTGTAAAGGAATTTGAATTATTCATTGATAAATCATCAGAAGATACATTTGAATTATTATCTAAGGCAACCTTAAAAAAAAAGACAAAAAATTTTACATCAAAATAAAATAAATTTTTTTGTTTTTTATCGTACAATTTGTTGTTGTTGATGTTGTTGTTGATGTTCCATTTCTTCTTTTGTAAGTGGACCAATAAATGTTGATGTTGATCTTGATTCATTTGGAATAATAGAATCATCAGTAAAAAATGTTGAACCAGTAAGATATGTAACAGCTTCTCCAATATCATTTCCAGCTTTATTTAATGCTTTACGATTTAATTCACGATCTGTAAAACCCATACTAATTAATGTTTCCATATTTTCTTCCATATTTAATAAATCAGTTGATGTTGATGATGATACTAATGAACATGAAATATTATCAATTGTTGATGAAGATGCAGTTAATGAATTACTTTTAAAAAGAAAATATTCTAAAGAAATAGAAAATAGAGAATTAATTTCTACCTTGCAACACAATTTTTATTATCTTTTTCAATGCAACAACGTTTAGAAGAATTATTATTATTATTATTATTATTAGTTTCGTTTAAAGAGGAATTTGCCGTGTGAGCATTGCGTTTCATCACAGCAGTGAATTAACAATTGATGAGTCATAGATAGAAAATCCATCTAGAATATAAATAAATACTCATAGGGTAAAAACAGAGAAAAAAAAA